CCCGATCCCGGGATTTTCCCTCTGTCCCGTCCCGATCCCGATGGATTTGGGATTTTCCCATTCCCATCCGAATCTCGATCCCGATGGATTTGGGATTTCCTGTTCCCATCCCAATGGATTTGGGGTTTTCCCATTCCCACCCTGATCCCGCTGGATTTGGGGTTTCTCATTCCCATTCCCATCCCAATCCCGATGGATTTGGGGCTCCCATTCCCAACCCGATGGATTTGGGGTTTTCCCATCCCGATGGATTTGGGGTTTTCCCATCCCGCTGGATTTGGGATTTCCTATTCCCATCCCGCTGGATTTGGGATTTCCTATTCCCATCCTGATGGATTTGGGGCTCCCATTCCCAACCCGATGGATTTGGGGTTTCCTGTTCCCATCCCAATGGATTTGGGATTTTCCACCTCTCCCGTCCTGATGGATTTGGAGTTTCCCATTCCCATCCCGATGGATTTGGGGCTCCCATTCCCAACCCAATCGCGATGAATTTGTGGTTTTCCCATCCCGATGGATTTGGGGTTTTCCCATCCCGATGGATTTGGGATTCCCTATTCCCATCCCGATGGATTTGGGATTTTCCACCTCTCCCGTCCTGATGGATTTGGAGTTTCTCATTCCCACCCTGATCCCGATGGATTTGGGATTTCCTGTTCCCATCCCGATGGATTTGGGGTTTCTCATTCCCATCCCAATCTCGATGGATTTGGGGCTTCCATTCCCAATCCTGATCCCAATGGATTTGGGATTTCCTGTTCCCATCCCAATTTCAATGGATTTGGGGTTTTCCCATCCCAATCCCGATGGATTTGGGGTTTTCCCATCCCAATCCCGATGGATTTGGGATTTCCCGTTCCCAATCCCGATGGATTTGGGGTTTTCCCATCCCGATCCCGATGCATTTGGTGCTTCCCATTCCCATCCCGACCCCGCTGGCTCTGGGGCTCTCCCAGATCCCGGGAAAGCTCCGGAATTCCCACATTTCCCACGTCTCCCCCTCCTCTCTCTCCTGAATTTCCCGTTCCTCTCTCCGGGGCTGATCCCACATTCCCGAATTTCCCGTTCCTCTCTCTGTGGCCAATCCGCATTCCCGAATTTCCCATCTGGGGGCCGATCCCACATTCCTGAATTTCCCATCCCGCATTCCCGAATTCCCGCTGCTCTCCCCAATCCCGGTTCCTGTTCTCGATCCTGGTCCTGCTCCGTTCCCGTTCCCATTCCCGGTTTGATCCCGGTATCCCGGTCTGATCCCGGCGTCCCGTTCCCAATCCCGGTGTCCCGGTCTGATCCCGGCGTCCCGTTCCCAATCCCGGTATCCCGGTCTCGGTGTCCCAGTCCTGGTGTCCCGATCCGATCTGTGTCTCCCAATCCCGATGTTCTGTTCCGATCCCGGTGCGTTCCCGGTGTCCTGTTCTGATCCTGGCGTCCCGGGGCTGTTCCCGATCCCGTTCCTGGTGCCTGTTCCCGGTGTCCGTTTCCGGTGCCTGTTTCCGGTGTCCTGGTATGTTCCCGGTGCCCGTTCCCGGTGTCCCGGTGCCCGTTCCCGGTGTCCCGGTGCGTTCCCGGTGCCCGTTCCCGGTGTCCCGGTGCCCGTTCCCGGTGTCCGTTTCCGGTGCCCGTTCCCGGTGTCCGATCCGCCGCGGGCTCTCCCGTTCCCGGCGCGTTCCCGGCGCGTTCCCGGCCTGCGTTCCCGGTCTCCCAGCCGCCGCCCCGCCGCCGTCATCTGGTGCACGTCCGGGCGGCGCCGAGGCTGCCGTTGTGGCTGGGGGGGGGCAGGAGGGGCTCGGCGCGGCGCGGTGGCCCCGCGCAGGGCGCCGCCGCCGCC